ACCATATGGCCTATCTAACACAATGTCTGCCATACAGTAGATGATCAGTTCTGGGCTCCCACTAAGTCAGCATTTTTACCTCAGAGAAGCTTCAAAATTACCTCTAACCTTGATACTGAATGTGGGATCTGCCACAAAATTAAGAGGTTTTGAGGGCATGATTAATTGCTTATTCTTAAACAGCTCTTCTCCCCCATCTCCCCACTTCACCCCATTCATTCATTGCAGTGTCTGGTACATAGTAGGAACTCAGTAAATATTTACTGAACTAAGCCTTTACATTGGAAGGTCTTAACGAATTTTTTTTGGTTTTTTTTTTGAGACATTGTCTCATTATGTTGCCCAGGCTGGAGTGCAGTGGCATGATCTCGGCTTGCTACAACCTCTGCCTCCCAGGTTCAAGTGATTCTTCTGCCTCACGCTCCCAAGTAGCTGGGATTACAGGCATGCACCACCACCCTGGCTAATTTTTGTATTTTTAGTAGAGACAGGGTTTCACCATGTTGGCCAGGCTGCTCTTGAACTCCTGGACTCAAGTGATTCGCCTGCCTTGGCCTCCCAGGTACTGGGATTACAGGTGTGAACCACCGGGCACGACCTTAATTCATTCTTAAGAAACACTACTGCTGAGACTTTGGACAAGGAAAAGTGGCATAAGCACTTCCAGGCTTCCAGAGGAATCCTCTGGAAAAGAGGTTAAGATTGCTAGGGAAGGCTGAAACCTGGGGACTTAGAGAATGTTAGGAAAAGGTTGGTTCTTACTCACCCAAGGACCATAGTGAACTATTTCACAGAATCAAATAACGTCAGCATGAATTATTTTAGAAATCACCTGGAAGTCTACCCCAGGCCCAGAGAGGGTATATGGCTTGTATAAAATCAAATAAATAACAAAATTGCTGAAACCATGGTCTAAGACTTGTTCAGTGTTTTTTTTTCAAGACAACACTGAAACTTGCCAAGAGATAGAGTGGAATTTTTTAAAAAGGTACTTTTAATGTGTTTGCAATAAGCAGAAGTGAAAGGGATAGGCCAATTCCTAGGGCAAAATGTGTAATATTGATAGTTAAGAGTCTTATTTCACATCAGCCTTCTCTATTAAGGAAATTGATCTCCAGCATGATAAAAAGGATAGTCCAAAACAGTTAACAGATAATTACATTTTAAGATAGCTAATGAGATAGAGAAGCCTAATTCATTGAATTAAATTCAAGCCTTCATACCCAAAGAAATTCCATTTCAGAATACTGAAAGAACTTGCCCTGTTGTAACACTCTCCCTGGAGGGGAGAGTATTGTATTATTAACTACTTTAAGGGAAGAGTTAACTAACTGCCTGAGGTCAATGATTATTCCAAGGCCGAAGGAGATCTCACAGCTAAGCCTCTCTGCAACCAAACTCCACTCTACGAGGTGTCACTGATCACTAAGTGAGCTGATGAATTTCTTCATAGAATCTAGGGTTGGAAACATCATAACAAAATAAAATGAAGCACCCAAACCAACAAAATGAAATTCGACAGAGCAAGTGGAAAGTCCTGCATGTAGCATAGTTTAAAAAAATCTTTACAAATACAAAACAGAGGAGATGAAGAGTAAGAAGAGTTCATGTTCAAAAGGGCTAGGAATCTTGGTGAACTCCAAGCTCATATCTTTGTGTGAAGCAGCTGCCAAAATGGCTAGCAAAATGTTAGAAAGCATTAATAAAGGCATAATGTTCAGAATAGAAGGAGAATGGGGCTACTGTATTTTGCTAGACAGATATCATTTATAGTACTGCATTCCATTTAGCTCCGTAGGGTTCCAGGGAAGGATAAATAAGATAACACACCATCTAAAAGTTATGCCATGTGAACTGAAAGGACTTGGGAATGTTCATTTTGGAGAACAGAAGGCTGTTCAATTTTAGTGACTAAAATGTGAAGGAGGCAGTCATTTTTCTGTCGCTTTGTAAGACAGAACTAAGATTCATTAGTAGATAAAAGCAATGGAAAAGAAAGCCTGTGTTAGTTGAATACCACTACATGCTGTTATGCTAGGTACTTTACATTCTTTTATTAAAACCTTTCAGAAACAGATGGATATTATGGGAGTGGTGAGCTCCCCATGACTGGAAATCAGATCCCCAGCTCAGCGCTGCTCATTTTAAGCAGTGGTGGCCAGGTGTGATGGCTCGTGACTGTAATCCCAGTAGTTGGGAGGCTGAGGTGGGAGGATCGTTTGAGGCCGGGAGTTCAAGACCAGCCTAGGAAGCAGGGAGACCCCAGTCTCCACAAAAAATGAAAAAAGTTAGCTGGGTATGGTGGCGTGTGCTTGTAGTCCCAGCTACTCGACTGGACAAGGGAATGGCTTGAACTGGGGAGGTGGAGGTTACAGTGAGCCAAGATTACACCACTGCATTCCAGCCTGGGCAACAGAACAAGACTTTGTCTCAAAAAAAGAGACAGGGTCCCAATATGTTGCCCAGGCTGTTCTCAAACTCCTGGGCTTAAGCTATCCTCTTGCCCTAGGAGGCTGAGGTGGGAGCATTGCTTGGGCCTGGGAGGTTGAGGCTGCAGTGAGCTGTGGTCACGCCACTACACTTTAGTCCGGGTGAGAGAGCAAGGCTTTGTCTGTCTGTTTAAATATATATCTCTCTATATAGATATACATTTTTTTTTAAAGCAGCAGCCATCAACGCTACTGCTTTCAAGATTTAAGAAAGCTATTCAGACCCTTCTGAAGCCAGCTTCCTATTGGAGGCAGGCTCTCTGCAGGGAACAAAGGCAACTACGTGTCAGCAACATGGATTTCTAGCACAGTGTCAAAGTTTCAAATCCCACTAGATGGCTGACTGTGAGTGAGGGGCTGCCTATTCATATTAGCCCAAGCTACTGCTTTCTAGCCAGTCTTGAACGTTGGGATGGGCCCAAGTTTGTGTAGGGTTGAGTCTGCAGGGAGGGTTAGGTGGTGCAGGAGAGCCTGAGTGTTCTGCAAGTTGATAAGGAATTGTGTGATGGGATGGGAATGGGATACTTCTCTTTGCCAGCCAGAGCCATTCTTCTCACATTCACTTCTAGTCTTAGAGTCACCCACGTGCTGAAGTCCTTCAGCCTAGGAAATGTTCTGGACAGTGGACAGTGTATCAGCTAGGGTCCTGTCCCAGCAGAATCAGAATTCAACTTGGAGGATTCTGATGAAGAAACTTTAATGAAGGAACCATTACAGAAGTGTGAGCTAGGAATCTACAAAGGAACTCAGCATCACAGGCACCCTCCAACCTCAAGACTGTGTCTTTGCTGTCTCTTCATCTTCCAACTGGCTGGATCCTTCATCTCATTCTGGTCTTTGTTATAATGCCACTCTCTCAATCAGGATTGTGACCGCTCCTCCTCAGCACTCCCTTCTCCCCACTGAACTTTGTTAAATCACTTCACATCATCCAATATTTGTATATTTAATTGCGTTTATTGTCTGCCTCTATCCATTAGAATGTTAGCAGAGATTTTTGTCTGTTGAGTTTATTGCTGTATCCCAGCACTTAGAATACTGCCTAGCCCAAGGAAGATGCTCATGAAGTATTCATTGAATAAATGAATAGATGAATGAAGACTAATTAGACTTATTAGAACAAATACAGAAAATTACCCAATGGTGACATCTGAACCCTCTTTCTTGCTTCAATTTGTTAATTACTCCTTCGGGTGAAGCCAGTTGAAATGCACAAGGCTTTCATTTGGCCACAAGAGGGTGATATTGGCCAGTTTTTCATTTTATAGACACCTTGTTCTGTGATCATTCACTCTCTTCCCCAGACCTCAGAAAGAAAACGTGAGACAGGGCCATGTCTGCAGCCAAAGTAAACACAGTGTCCCGGATGGAAGTTTCTTCTGCCCGGATGCTGTCCAAGTGAAATTCAATTAAAACCTACATCAGTAACAGTTTCTAAAGGAGAGAAGGTCACTAGAAAGTAAGAGCGTAGGAAATGTGTAGGAGGAAGAAACAGGCAAAGAAAGGCATCTCCACCACTTTGGTAACCATGGAGATGCCACCAGCTGGCCAGATGACCTCATGTTTTGTGCCACATTCTTCTACTTCCCTTCTCTTTGCACCATCCAGGCCCAGTTTGGCTGTTTTTGCAAAAGTGTGAGCTTTCACAATAAAGGGTCTAGGTTCATGGTTCCAATTGTGAACCTCCAGGTGCTCTGGGAAAGAAATACACTTTACTCAAGGAATCATTCCCTCTTTTATTAAATCCTACTTTGTGAAGATGCTGTGTGAAAGGAACATGGGAGATGATACAGAAAGAAAGGGATCATCAGCCCCAAGGTCAAGGTACACAGCAATGACACCATGGGACAGAAGTGGATAGGGAAGTATGGGAAGCCCAGAGAAGGTTTCAGGAGCATCTGGAAGGCAAGAGAGGCTATCTTCAGTGAGAAGGGGTGAGAGGCAGCCTTATGGGAGGGAGGACATTTGAATTGGGATTCAAGGATAGGCAGGTACAAATTTGTGTTTGGCTGTATCTCAAGCACTTTCTGATTTTATACACTGCCTTTTAATTGCACCTGAATTTCAGGATAATTTTTTTCTCCTCTAAGAATGAGTAACCATTCATTACTCATTCTTAGAGGAGAAAACCTGATTTTTTCCCCCCACATCTTAATCTTGTAAGACATAGCTTGTAGGGGAGATAATGTGTTATTAAAATAGTAGAAGGGGACAAGCTTTGCATCCACTCTAGTGGTTTCTAAATTGAGTGCCCTTATGCACACCCCAAAGAGACTGGAGAATCTAACAAATAAACACATGATTTTTTTTGAGACATCTGGTTTGTCACCCAGGCTGGAGTGCAGTGGTGCAATCTTGGCTCACTGCAACCTCTGCATCCCTGGTTCAAGCGATTCTCCTGCCTTAGCCTCCCGAGTAGCTGGGACTACAGACGGGTGCCACCACACCTGGCTAAGTACATGATTTTTAAAGTTTTTAAAAATAGGGAGCAGAGAATGGAAGTCCTGAGGGGAGTTTTTATTATCTTGCCTTTAGTGCAGCTCTTCTCAACAGCAAAGAGTGGAATTTGTGAATACCTATTGAGGTCCCAAGATTCACAGACTAAATTCACAGACCAACACTGTGAACTCTTGTCAAACATATTCTTTATTTGAATGAGAGGCAGTCCGGAGGGAAAACAGGGAAAGAACGAAATGAAAAACTCAGATGTCAAGTAGCAGCTTTAAGTCAAAAGCTATCCCCAACATGGGGCCACAGCCATGGCCCCCTCCACTTGGGCGTGGGGTGATGCCTCCAGGTTACCCCAGACTAGTGTGGTAGTGCTTCTTCTACTGCTAGAGTGAGGAAGGGAAATAAGACCTCCCTCAGCCTCTCCAAGGTGCCCCTGCTCAGCACCAGGGGCAGGACATCCACAAGAAGGTCTGGGTTTATGTACTGCAGATGGAAAAACACATAAGCCAGCAACCTAATGAAGATGAGGACCATGAAGATGACATACTGGAAATGCCTGCAAAGAGATGATCATTATTTGCATGAGAAAAAAAGACAGCCTGAGGTCAAACAGTGGGAGGAAACCTCATAGTCATAAATGGTTGGCGAATTGCTTTCTTCAGGCCAAACTGATAAGGGAAAGTAGGGAATAGGGGCACAGAAGGTAAGAGTAGGGAAGCAGCCAATACAGAAGAAGAGTGATGTCATGGTCAGAAATTGAATCCAGGCCTCCTGACAGTAAGTCCGCCAACAGAATAGATGTCCATATAGAAAAGTCAGAGGTACGAAAGACTTTCCAGGTACTATGTTTTGCTCACGCCTTTCTAGCATTGTCAGAAAATGGTTAGGACCATCACTTGTGAGCCTTCTGACTAGTGGTTCTTTTCAGGTCCTCTGTAATAAGCAGTTTTAGAATTTGAAATAAGATTTAGCCATTGATGATATTAACTTCCAGGTAAAATAATGAGGATTACCTTTCTTCTAAACATCTGGTGTTGAAACAAACCAATAAAAAAGGGTGTGTGTGTGTGTGTGTGAAGGTTTTGTGTGTGTGTTTTCTTGTGTGCACTCAAGAAAATTCTACTCTGGCAACAGGTCTAAGACCTTCAACTATGTTGAAATATCGTAAATTGAAGCTTTTTATTAAAGTGCCACTTGAAGCTCTTCAGGGTCAATCTTATTATTTCAAAAATTAAAGAAGCAAAGGCACAGAGAGTTCAATGATCTTTTTTTCTAAAATGTCTAAGCCTATAGGTAAGATAATTAAGAAAATTAATGTACCCTGAACTTTCTTCCCAACAAAGAATATCACAGAGGTGACCGAGTTCAGGACTTGGAAAATGGAAAGGGGCTATACCTAGGATCATAAGAATGAAAATTAAAAGTTAAATGCAACCTACATCTTTATCCCACATTTCTTAGAAATAGCCACAAATTTCTCGAGCTATTTATAACTGCTGTTTAACTCTGGTGTTTTATTTTATTTTATTTTGAGACGAAGTTTCACTCTTATTACCCAGGCTGGAGTGCAATGGCACCATCTCGGCTCACCGCAACCTCTGCCTCCTGGGTTCAAGCAATTCTCCTACCTCAGCCTCCCAAGTAGCTAGGACTACAGGCTGCGCCACCATGCCAGCTAAGTTTTTGTATTTTTAGTAGAGACGGGGTTTCACCATGTTGACCAGGATGGTCTCGATCTCTTGACCTAGTGATCCACCAGCCTCGGCCTCCCAAAGTGCTGGGATTATAGGCGTGAGCCACCTCGCCCGGCCCCAACTCTGGTGTTTTAATTATACATTGAGAAAAATAAGAATGGCTGGGAGACATTTGGGGCTGCCTTGTGTATTCTGATCAGTGGATATGTTTATCCTTGTTCTTTTGGCCCTTATCAGGTAATGTGCATAGTGAAATGTGGTCTAGGCTAGGTAAAAGCAAGATTCTTCCACTTACTTGTACCAACAGATTCTCTCCTGTTTCTTAATGGTTGTCTTCTCCTATGGGAAACAATGAAAATACACAGCTATGGCTTCTCATGTGTTCACAGAGAGGTAGAGGAGCAGGGGCCCTAGAATCAGGATGCCAAGGTTTGAATTCTGGCTCTGCCAGCTCCTAGCTTACATGATGTGGAGTAAGGCACTAAACCTCATTATTTCCTAATTATAGGATTATTGAGAGAGAGAGAGAGACAGAGAGAACGAGAACCTAGGGGAAGGAGGGGATAGAGGAAAACCCATGTTTGGAATAGGAAAAACTTACCATGTTGCTTTGGGTGGTGTCCACCAAAACTGACCCCTGTTTCACTATTTGAGAGGAGACATTCTGGGCTTTGGATCTGGGTAAGAGATCAGAACTGAGAGTTAGGTAACATTATCTGAGAGGATGATGAAAGGTGCTTTCCTAAGTTATATGACATCTGTGATTCATATCCTAGACTCTTGATAACATTCACAATGCTCAATATTTAAAATCTATAACTGCTCAACTTACAAAGAATCACAGGAAAATGTGATTCATTCTTAAGGGAAAGTCAATCAATGAACACTAAGCCAGATATAACTGATTTTGAATTCAAACTGCAGTTTGTGTCTTGGTGGTAGCTCAAATGTCAGTTCTGGTCTTATGTCCTTAGCCAGACTGCTCACACATTGCCCCGAGCATGCATGGTTTTGAGGTACAGTCAGAGATTAAGGTATAGTTTAGACACAGATTTAGGAACTCCCAATGTCTGACTCTACTTTTTCCCCAGTATCTTTGGCTGCCTCAGACTCTCTATTCTCTATTTTGTTAGTCCAGAAAGACGGTAGGTTTTCTCTGCTGGTGCATCTTACACACCCAGTTTGGTCTTTCTTCAGGCTAGAAGCTATAAAACTGGGGAACCAATGTCCATCATTCTCTTTTTCCAAGTGAATGATTTTCTTGCTTTTATTCAGTGGCCAAGGCCTTCTGTTCATTGTTTGTTTATTTGTTTTGTTTTGTTGTCCTAAGTTCTATTTTCTGCAGTAGGGTTGGGTCCACTAAATGGAAATGCCTGTAAATAATACCAGCAAATAATGCCTACAAATGCTTGCAAATTGTTCAATCAAGCAAGAAAAAGGAAAAGTTAAAAATGGAAAAGGAAAAAATACAATTGCTATTTATAGTTGAGAATCTAAAATAATCTTTAAATTTTTAACATAGGTGAATTGAGCAAGATTAATGATACAAGTTCAATATATAGAAACCAATTGTATTTCTGTGCACTAGCAGTAATCAATTAAAAAATCAAGGCTGGACATGGTGGCTCACACCTGCAATCCTAGCACTTTTGGAGGCCAAGGCAGGAGGATCACTTAAGCCTAGGAGTTTGAGATCAGCCTGGGCAACATAGTGGAATCCTGTCTCTGTTTTTTATTTTATTTTATTTTACTTTTGAGATGGAGTCTCACTCTGTCGCCTAGGCTGGAGTGCAGTGGTGTGATCTCAGCTTACTGAAATCTCCGGCTTCTGGGTTCAAGCAATTCTCCTGTCTCAGCCTCCAGAGTAGCTGGGACTACAGTCACATGCCACCACACTCAGCTAATTTTTGTAATTTTAGTAGAGATGGGGTTTCACCGTGTTAGCCAGGTTGGTCTCCATCTCCTGACCTCATGATCAACCACCTCACCTTCCCAAAGTGCTGGGATTACAGACATGAGCCACCACGCCCAGCCTCCAACTCTATTTTTTGGATATTAATAAAAAAAGAAAATCAAATTAACACATCATTCATAGTAGCATCAGAAACATTAAATTCCTAGGAATAAACCTGATAAAGAATATGTAAGAACACCACACAGAAAAATAAAACATTATTGGGAGAAATTAAAGATCTAAATAAATGAAGGGATAAAGATGTCATGATGTATGAAACTAGTGCTTATTTTTATTATTGTTTTGAGATAGAGTCTCACTCTGTGGTCCAGGCTGGAATACAGTGGTATAATCATAGCTCACTTTTACCACAAACTCCTGGGCTCAGCCTCTTGAGTAGCCAGGACTATAGGCATACACAACTATGCACAGCTAATCGGTTTGATTTTTTTGCAAAAATAGTGTCTTGCTATGTTGCCCAGGATAGTCTCAAACTCCCAAATCGCTGGCATTACAGACACGAGCCACAGCACCTGGCCCTGGAAAACTGTTGTTTAGATACTAATTATCCTTTCACTTTGTTTATAGATTCCATGTAACTCCAATCAACATCTCAGCAAGGTTTTTTGTTTTTGTTTTGGTAGAACTTGAAAAACCGATTTTAAAATTTATATAGAAATTCAAGGGGCCAAGAAAGCCAAGATAATCATTTTTAAAAGTTGCAGAATTTAAGCTACCATATCAAGGCTAATTATAAAGCTACAGTACTTAGTGTAGTTTTGGCACCAGGATAGAAACATAGACTAATCGTACAGAATAAAGCATCCAGAAACGGACTCACACATATATGGTCGCCAGACATAAAATAAGATGCCACTGCAAATGCATAGTCTCTTCAATAAATGGTGCTGGACCAACTGCATATCCATGTGGAAAAAGAAATCCACAAATTTTAATCTAAACCTCACACCATAGAGAAAAACATATTCCAAAAGAATATAAACCTGAGTAAAAGGTAAACAGTAAAAAATTATAGAGTAAACCATGAGAGAGTAGTTTTATGACCTAAAGAAGGCAGAAAGCAAAAAAGAATGGATTGATACATTTCACAGATTATATTTTTTTCTAAATTAATAACTATCATTTATCCAAAATGTCATTAAGAAAGTAAAAAAGGAAAGCCACAGAATAGGCTATAATACACAAATTTGACAAAGGATCTTATGAAGAAAATGAGGAACTTCTATAAATCATTAGGAAAAGACTAACAATCTCACAGATGTAGGCAAAAGACATGTCACAAAAGAGGACATCCACATTTCCAAAGTGTGTGAAAAGCTGTAACACATCATTATTAATCAGCAATAAAATACATATAAAATATCATTTTTCAGTAATGTGTTTTAAAAATTAAAATTGTACATCACTACACCCTCCTTCCAGAATAGCTAAAATCATAAAGGCTATAAATACCGAGTGAAAGTAAGGATGAAGAGTCACTAAAACTCTTGGACATTTTTTGTGGGAGGGGATATTGGTACAGGCACTTTGGAAAACTGTTCAGCTTAGCTAGTAAACCAGATATGTATACCCTATGACCTAGAAATCCTATTCCTTGCTATATAACCCAAGAGAAATAAGAGGATATGTCCATCAAAAAACATGCACAAGAATGCTTGTAGCAGCTTTATTATAAATCTCCAAGCTGGAAATAACCGACATCTTCCTTAACAGTAGAATAGATAAATTGTGCCATATTTATGTAATAGAATATAGCAGCCATGAAAAAGAACAAATCATGCAGCAATGCAAGTGAGTCTCAGTGAAAGCCAGACACAATCGAGATCATACTAAATTTATATAAAGCCCAAAAACGGTTTAAAAAGAAAAAGATAAAAGTCAAGCTAATGGTTACTTTTCAAAAGTATTGAGTGGGAGGCGGGTACAGGGAGACTTTTGGGGTACTCAAAATGTTCCATATCTTGATCTCAGTGGTGTTATCTCGTATAAAAATTCACCAAGCTATATAAAATTTGTGCACTCTATGTATGTTATATACTGCAATTGAAAAGTATAAATAATCAAAAGGAAAGTGTGACAAGTCCTGAGACAGACAGTCTATGGAAAGAAGTATAAAAGGGCATCACTGGGCCCCTGGTCAGTCTGGTAGACCCACTGCATCCTGGGAAAGGGAACAGCATACACATATAGAGAAATATTTCTGAGCCCCTGGTCCTCTTTTTACTATGTTGCTTCCTCTCTGAACTTAGATCCAGACAACTTTCAGGAATGGCATGCAACTGAGGACATGTAAAAACAACATTAACGTGAAGCACAGTGGCTCATGCCTGTCGTCCCAGCACTTTGGGAGGCCGAGGAGGGTGGATCACCTGAGGTCAGGAGTTCGAGACCAGCCTGGCTAACATGGTGAAACCCTGTCTCTACTAAAAATAGAAAAATTAGCTGGGTGTGGTGGCAGGCACCTGTAATCCCAGCTACTCGGGAGGCTGAGGTGGGAGAATCGCTTGAACCTGGGAGGCGGAGGTTGCAGTAAGCCGAGATCACAGCACTGCACTCCAGCCTGGGCAACAAGACTGAAATGCCATCTCAAACAAACAAAAGAAAAGAACATTAAAAAGAAACTTCTGAAACCAATTGCTGAGGAAGGCAAGAGGGAAGCCTGAATGCTGGTGGTTTTCCAGTCTGAACAATGGAGTGGAGGCTGACAGAGAAGACCTGTTGGAGGCCATTTACACAGTGACACACTGTGCTGAGAAGCACCTGCCCTTCAAAAGACCACCTGGACTGCCGGACTCTCACTGCAGTCTGTCAGGGAGGCCATTTTCTAAACTTACATTTCTTTTTCAAGAAGCAGCACCTCCTCTTCCTCTTCCATCTTCCTCAGGGCTTCCTGGTATTTCTTTCCATAAAGTTGAAAACAAAATTCATAATGGAAAATTTCTGTATTTTATCATGATGTCATTAATAAAAATATTCTGCTAATTATTTTCCAAACAGTGTACTCATCAGTATGCACACACAAGTGTGTGTGTGGGGGAGTGCTAATAAAAATTAGAAGAAATTAGTGACCAGAATGGATGTGTATGAACAAAAGGAGTTCCCTCTCATTCAGGTCACTGCTTGTATTCAAATCCCAGCTCTGACGTTTACTAGCTGTGTTCCCTGTTACTAGCTGTATTCTAATGTTCTGAAACCTCATTGTCCCCTTGAGCATAACTGTCAGTCTAAGAATTATTGACCAATTGATTGAGAAAAGTACTGTATGTTGAGTGCTTAGCACAGTACTTGGCACAAAGTAAATCCTTAAGATACATCCATCTTCTTGTTGCTGTTGTATATAGAGCACTTCCCCCAGTGACTCATTCTAGCCTGAAGAAAAACCAAGGAACCCATGGCCTTGGAGAAATTCTGCCCCTACTCGGACTTTTCCTCCAGACACACTGTACCTTTACATAGTAGACCTGGTCCTTACAGAGCTCATGCACAGATAGGTAGTCACTCTCCATCTAAAAAGAAAGGAAATTAACAAACCCCATGAGTTAAATCAGAACCAAGCCCAGCTTCCTCCTTGGGGCCCTACCTGGTACACTGGCACTTGGCTGGTTACCTTAGCAACTCCTGACTTGAGAAAAAATAATCACATCACAAAGAGGTGATCTCATCATCAGGCACAGGGGCTGATTTTAAGCAGAGGAAATATTTTGCCCAAGTTGTCATATGCCTCTCAGGTGAAATACCAGGGAATGTTTCACCCTGGTATTCAAGAATGGTATTTGACATAGAGGTCTAAGACAGGGTAAAAACAATATTTTTAATAGAAGTTTTCTTTCCCTTCAGCTACATAAGAATCAGAAATTCATTTCCAAGATGTTCTTGTACTTTCCCCTCCCATGCCTCAATCAGATCTGTTTTTAAGACCCTTGGGATTCTTTCCCATTATATCCTGGGCAGACCCTCTGTGGAAGAGACACTGCCTCTACCTTGGCCAGCTCCTCCTCTTGCTTTGCACAGGACCCTGTTGTCTTCTGTAGCCTCGCCTGTGGAAGACAACGAGTGACAGCAGAAAGTTACAAGCATTCTTTTGCGGAAGGGAAGTGGGTAATTATCACCATCTCCAGACCAACAGAGAACATGATACTAATGGCTAGCATATGTTGAAGACATGTGATAATAACATTTTAGGGTGGGCACTTGTAATTACTCCCCATTTTACAAATAAGGAAACAAAGATATAGAGAAGTTAAGAATGTAACTTGTTGAAAAGTTGCAGAGTGGCAGACCTAACATTTATGCCTTAGTAGGCCAATGCCCCATTCAGTGAGTCCAGCTATCCTCCTTCTTCCAGGCCTACTGACCAAAGCTCACCAGCCTCTTCCTCCCATTCATATTTCATAGTGTGCACTGGCATGTCCTCTGAATCAGAAAATGAAAGAGGAACCTGGGCTGGGCATGGTGGCTCATGCCTTTAATCCCAGCACTTTGGGAGACCAAGGCAGGTGGATTACTTGAGGTCAGGAGTTTGAGACCACCTTGGCCAACATGGTGAAACCCCATCTCTTCTGAAAAAACTAAAATTAGCCAGGTGTGGTGGCATGTGCCTGTAGTCCTAGCTACTCAGGCGCCTGAGGCAGGAGAATTGCTTGAACTTGGGAGGCAGAGGTTGCAGTGAGCCAAGATATTGCCACTGCACTCCAGCCTGGATGACAGAGTGAGACTCCAGAGAGAGAGAGAGAGAGAGAGAGAGAGAGAGAGAGAGAGAGAGAGAGAACTGGCTCCTCTTTTTCTGAGAAATGCATAAGACAATGGAGCTCTTGTATATGGGCTCTGTTAAATTGCCACACTCACCACATAAATATGCAGAGAGCTTCCTAACAAGTTTTTTCCCCACTATTGGGTGTCCAGTGTATCCTTTCATTCAGTATACATTTATTGGGCATCTACTATGTGCCAGGCAGATAGTTCTAGGCACTGGGGAAACAAATGAACAACATAGAAAACAATTCATGTTCTCAATGGGTTTATCTTCTAGCAGAGGAAAAAATAAATAAACAAATAAATAAATTAAATAAATAACTTCTTTAGCCTTTGAGATATGGGTTGGAAAATCAGAAGATCATGACACAAGCCTGTATGATTATGGGAGTCAATATTTTCTTCCTATCTGATATCTTATTTGTGTGTCCTCACTTAAATAATAAACTTCTGGAGGGTGGGTCCCAGTGGGCATTCAGGACGTGTTTTATTTACTGTGGAAGATGGGGACTTTGGAGCAGTTCCCTCCACTTTGATCCATTGCAGTCACTCTGCTCTTAGTGTGACTTATGATGTTATGAATGCCCCACAGGCCATGGGATTACATACAGGGAATAAAGGACACTGACTCATCTCTGATAAGTACATGGGCATAACCAGTACATATTCTAGAGGAGTCATTGATAGCAATTTCTCCCAGGATCTGCAATTCACACATCTCCCAGAAAATCTGTTTTTTCTACTTACCTTAATTTCCTCCAGTTTCTGCTCTGTAGTTTCTTTTTCAAGACTGACATTTGTAAATTGCCCTGAAATCTAAAAAAGCATTCTAAAAATCATGAAATAAGTAAGGCACATAGACATGGAAACCTAGGACAGTGGCAGACTGGGGGTCCCAGGCTGCAGAAGGTAGTTACTAATTTGGGCCCTGGATAGAAGCTCGGCAGAAAAGCATCTCCTTCACCCTGTGGAGGCTGCCTGACCCCACACTGGCTGGACAGACCTTTCTGTTCCCATAGCCCATGGAAGCAAGGACACAGTGAGGAGGGGAGGATGATGAGAGAGAAAGAGAGAATTGGGCAGAGTGGTAGGAGGAAGGATAAGTCTTTTCTCCTTCCTTTATGGCCCTTTAGCCCTCTCACCACAATCTGTAATGCCCAGAGAACAATTGGCAGCAGCATTGAGGAGGGAGCATGCAGACCCTGCCAGTTGCCCCTTCTCCAGTCTCTGTGATTAGAGAGTTCTAGAAGATAACTCTTATTGGGAGTCCTAATAAATGAGGCTTGTTTCCAAGGCAAGATTTGTTGTGTGGAGAACAGCCTTTCTATTAATGTTTATGTATATTTTCTCATTCTGAATGTACCTAGGACCCCTCCTGCAATGCTCCCAGCCCAGCCCACCAGCCTTTCTCTTGTGAAAACACTATGTTCTTAGGGACTCTGGGACCCTAAAAAACCCAGGGCTCTCCTTACCTTGTTCTGAAGCTCCACCACATTCCTGCTTAGGACTGCATTACTTTTTTTCTATCGGGAAAAAGGAAGTCAGGGAAGAAAGTTGCTCTGCCATCATTTCTCCCCCTTCGACAGGCCGCTAGAATAATATCTGGGGATAAGTCTATCAAGTTGGAAAAGTGCACTCTGGCTCACACAGCAGATCTGGGAATAAAGCCCTTTGGCCCTCATGCCCAGTGCTTCATTCCCAGAATATCCTTTTTTTTTTTTCTTTTTCTCAGTAAGCCCAGAATACTCTTTTAAGCGATGAACATGGGATGACATCCTGGGAAAGAGAGAGCAGCAGAATGCAAACAAAATGCATACAGTGGTCCTTTTCTAGATACCTCCTTACCAGCTTTGCTGTCTCTAATTCCAGCTCCCTAAGGGATTCCTCCTGTTCATTTATGATAGAGGTCAATTCCTCCTCCTCTTTGGCTTGTTCTAGTGACCGGGCCAGCTCTCTTTCCAGACTGAAAAATATAAAGTCACCCAGGTGTGGATCAGCTCCTAAGGCATCTGCCAGGGTCCCAGTTGGAGAAGCTACTTCCAAAGTCTCAGGAAGTCAGAATAACTACCAGTGCAGTGGCAATAAAATAATCAACTCTAATGTGAAAATTTAATGCAAACATCTGTACATAAAGTGTTTTCAGGGCACTGTAGTTCATACTTTAGGATTTAAATAACACACCAAGATTCACTATCAAATAACTGAAACTTTCTTCCATCTTCTGTATCACTAAGGACCTAGAGGGGAGGAGAGGCCCTTCCCTCACCAACTGCAAAGCCTTACCTTGAAATAGTTTCTTCTTTCTCTTTAATTTTTCTAAGGAGAACCTGATTCTCCATATCCAGTTTCTGCAGGTCCTTTTCAAGGTCTGAATTTAGGCAGTCGAGGTTCTGTTTTATGGCTTCTAATGCTGGTAATTCCATCATCTGGCACCTACAGAAAAATAATCTTTATCAACAAACTCAGGACAGGAAAACATGGGAGCTCTAAGAAGACATTCCCCTATAATTAATTCCATTCATTCTTTTCTTCTGTTGCTAAAAAGCCTAACCAGCCTTATTTTGTTTTCCATGATAAATTGATTTCTATGCTGTTTGGCATAAAATAAATTCCTGGAGTGGACCCACACTTTAATTTTAAATACTATAAGTGGAACCCACTAAAATAAATCTTTTATGAAGCAAAAGAAATATTTTTTCAAATGAATATGTTAGCACACTTATTTAAAAAAATTTTATATGAAGTATGCAGAATCCAAGTGATACCTCTAAAGCATTTAAAGACCTGCAAGGGAAAGATTTCTCCTTTTGTTATCTTCTAACCTAGTCAGGGAGGGCCATGGGCCGAGTGGAGGCCAGAAGGCAGATGAACATTTCCTGCAAGACTGATTAGCTGTTTGAGACACTAGCAATCTTTGAAAACCCCATCATTAGTCTGATGAAGAACAGAGAACTGAAACCAAAGTTTCTTCTCCCTAGGAAGCCTCCCCAGACTTGAGGAGATAAGGTCTTGCACAATGGAGCTCTTTCTTACTGGATTGCTGGAGACTCTTCCTGTGGAGTTTCCTCTAGTGAACTCCTTTATTATTTCCATACTTACACATCATCCAGTGGATTCTGTCCAACGTCTTCCATCATAGGTTTCCTAAAATGTTAATACAAACATCTGTTATGGAAAAGCCCCTAACAGTCATTGCAGTAATTGTCCCAGGAAGGAGCAGGTAAAAGGTAGACCTTGTGTTCAGGCAACACACAGCCAAGAAGAAACCTAAGCGTCCTACACTCACACTTTCCAGGATCAATTGCAGTATTTTTTACAAGCTAAATTTTAGTAAACCAGATCATGTTTTAATTTAAAATTCTCATAAATGAATCCCACCAGAGTACAGGAATCTTTTTGTTTTTCAGATTTTCCATACTTTGGCTCTATTTTCCTTTTCTCACCTACATTTGTCCCCTCACGAGTAAAGTTGCTAAGTGTACTCGTGTATGTTTAATGGCAAATACGCTGAGTGTTTGATTCCAACCAAACCTTCAGAGAAACTTAAAAAAAAAAATAGTAGAAGAGTTAGAGGGTACCAAAAAGTTGGCTGATTGATTTCTATTAGTTTATTACCATCCTACTTTCCAAGAAAGCTCTAGCTATTATAAGCTGAGATGACCCTGAAACAACAGCAGAAGTAGCAGCATGGGCAACAGGATACAACTACTAAAAGGAAGAAACACGTCAGGCTCTCAGGCACAGAATATCCTACTCATTACCCTGGAAAATTCAGGACCAACTCCAACCCAAGAAAAGTAGAATACTAAATCTCTATTCTTTCACATTGCATATTTTCTTCCTGTTTAAGCTCTTTTAATTCCCTTTTCAACTTCTTCTCCCACCTCCTTCTTAATTTTAAATCTCTTCTCCCTGCATTTCACTTTCTTTCTATGGTCATTACATGCAGCAATGTGATGTGATGCTGCCCTCTGAGCTCACCCTTCTCTTCCCGATTGAGATGTCTTCTGCTCCCAACAGAGATTTCCAACTGAACATCAGAACTATCAGAAAGGACAGTATTAGTAAATAGTGGCAGTGCCTGACTGAGTCCTCCACGCATAATTGGACCTATTATATCATCTCTGTGTACAAATTGCTGCCCCCAAATCTAAACCATGAATCTGTATTGAATGTATTATATCATCTCTGGCTGGGCAGGGAAGCGTGTCATAGTGGGTGAGATGGGTGAGGGTGAGTGAGGGGTGGGCGGGGCAGCAACAATCCAGCTATGGCATCCCTGTGGGCACAGTGGGAGTAGAGTTCAGCACTTTAGGACAGTTTAGATCTCTTCTGTAGCAGAAATAAGATCTATGAAACAGATTTCTAGGCACAGTTTAAATCTCTTCTGAAGCAGTAATCAGTTCTATAGAACATATTTCATTTTTCCAAATCTCTAGGCCTAATGGTAGTTGTGATCACTTTCATTTCTCTTTCATGATCTCTGTGTGGCAAATGTACAAACTGCTGCCCGCAATTCCAAACCATGAATTTGTACTGAATGCATCCAAGAGCTATAGGGCAGGGATGTAAGAGAGCAGGTCAGGAAGGACCTGAGAGACTTATTTATGAGCTAAGCAAGCCCATTCATTCTCACCCAGTCAGATTCTTGGAGTTGCAAAACAAGCTTCATTTTCCCTGAATTGGCAATGCCACCACTGGGAAAGAAGGATCTGACGTTTCAAAGGTGGAAGGAGTGTGTGGAGGTGGAACAGGAAGGAGAGGAGTGTAGGGTCCAGAGATTCCATTTTACCGCCCACTCCTTTGGAATTCCCTCTTTGCTTTTTGAGGTCTTAAATTGCTGAAACAATAGATGGAATTTTACACATCAATGTCACTCTACTAACCATTCCTGGATTATTCTCTGTTGACTCAGACGATGAGGCAGGATACAGAATTGAAGAGATAGCAGTAAAGATGTGTGCTTGAATTTCAAGTCTGTCAATTTCTGTCCCGTATATGCAATTGACTCATCTATGATCTTTTTTCTTTTTCTTTTTAAGCTCAAAAGGACAGCATTTTTCTGTGATCTAAGTCTAACCTTTTCCAGATAAACTGTACTAATCTGTTCGCTGAAGTCCTTATAGAACACACTACTGTTTCTTCCCAATGTCTCTCCCATGCAGTAATGTCTCCCATAATCTTATCCATCCTTTTCAGTTCAGCTGAAATGCTGCTTCTGTTTCAGTAGGTAGCTGGTAAGACATGAGCAGACCAGAAGAGGACTCCCATCACACACACACACACCAGGAATCAGGAATGCCAGGTGATCAACAGGTGATGGTCGGGTGGTTGTTACACTGCCTCTCTAAAATAATAATTGGTCACAGCCAGTGCCAGGGAAAGGCAGCCTACCAGTAGATAGAAACACCTGAAGTTGGTGATCATCAGCTTTCTGATAAGGGCTCAGGAGTTGGGCAAGTGGGCTCAAGCATGTACATTAAGAAGCAAAATGGCAGAGTTTAACTGTATATGACCTCCTAGGAACATTTGACTGGTAAGGGAAAAACGCCTCAAATGAACATTTGTACAAAACTAGTAAACACGCTGCTCATTTCGCCTCTCAAGTGCTAGCAGGACACTGCACATGCAAACAGCCCACTCCAAGGGAAAAAAATCAGGGGAGCCGGGATGCAAGACCCCAGAAGTACGGCAACATATAAAACCCCAAGTCAAAAGATCAAACCATACACTTGACCTCTCAAGTTGCCCACTTGGCCCTCTTCCGAGTGTAGAGTGTACTTTATTTCATTTCTGCTCTAAAGCTTTTTTTTTTCTTTCAGACTCTGCAACTCCCCTCTAAAGCTTTTTAATAAACCTTCCCTCCTGCTCTAAAACTTGCCCCAGTGTCTTCTTCTGCCTTTAGCTCCTCGGTTCAATTCTTTCTTCTGAGGAGGCAGGAACTGATGTTGCTGCAGACCCGTATGGATTTGCCACTGGTAACACTTCTACAGCTTCCTGGATGCCAGCCCCAATCCTGGCAGAATTAGTCCCTCTAATCTCTTTTTGCCTCTTTGGGGATTTTTATATTGTTTTTAGGAATATGAGCATACTGGTCTTCATTCCACAATTAGGTCATAAACCCTTTTGGATAGTATGTTTTAATTAAAACTATTTTTATTTAGGCTGCAGGGGCACTGTTTGCAGGAAATTCAATAGGAATAGTGACTCTTGATATTGTTCAAGAAGGGACCTTGGGCAAGTTACTTAAATGTCTCTAAGCTCAAGTCTCCTGACTCGTGAAATGGGCACTACTTTTACTTCACAAAGTCGTGGTGGTGATTAGATGAAATCATATATTTAAAGCTCCTAACACAATGCCTGGCATACAGTGAGTGGCATCTATTTCTCCCCAACATGATAGATTGTTTTTTAATCTCATGTTTCCTCTGCACATGGCATATGCTGAGTATTTTTAGAATAAATGAATTAATAAATGACAAGTCAATTATTCCATTCTCCCTTTGTCTAAAACAGGTGTTCTTCACCCTTTTCTCTTTCCAACACACCTGAGAGACTCTCACCTGTGCTCTCCCATTAGAATACAGTGTACTCTTCCATCAGCAACACATTGCATCATGGCAGAATTCCCAACAGAGTGCCACATTCCCCAGGACACCTACCCACAGTCAACAGAAATGTAATTTAAAAGCCTTTGTAAAATGTCCCAGAGCAGTAGACACCTCTGGTTGAGAATCACTAATGAGGAACATTTTTTCTCCACTAAACTGCATTTTTCTTTTCTTAAAGACTGTGCAAATTCACCCTTTCCATGAAACCTCCTGAAATAAACTCTTCTTACCTTATTGCTCCAAGTAGATAATGTGCACTTAGGAAGTGACCATATTTCCCTTTTTTACTTTACAACGAAGAAGTCAAAGCCACATTTGAAGCCCCAAATTTTTATGACTGTACTGAACATCATGGTGTATAGTCTCAGTCTTGCATTTTATTTATATTCACATGATCCTGATTTTTTTCCTCATTGTCTTGGTGATTAACATTCATCTCTTCATTACTTATTCCAATTTCTGCAGCCAGATTAAATTTCTCCTCAGAAAATGGAATTTTCTTTTCTATAGTGTTGTCAGCCTGCAAATTTTCCAAACTTTTATGCTCTGTTTACCTAAAACTGAATGTGTTTAACAGCACCCAAGTCACTTCTTGAATGCTTTGCTTCTTAGACATTTCTTTGGCCATCTAAATCATCTATCTCTCAAAGTTCTACAAATCTCTAGAGTGGGGGAAAATGCTACCGGTCTCTGCTAAAATATAACAAGAGTGACCTTTGTTCCAGTTCCCGACAAGTTCCTCATCTCCATCTGAGACTGTCTCAGCCTGGATTTCATTATCCATATCATTATCAGCAGGTTGGTCAAAGCCATTCAACAAGTCTCTAGGGAGTTCCAAATTCAAACTTTCCCACATTTTCCTGTCTTCTAAGCCCGCCAAACTGTTCCAACCTCTGCTATTACTCAGTTCCAAATTCACTTCCACATTTTCAGATATCCAAAACAAAGCCCCACTCCAAGTACTAATTAACTGTATTAGTACATTTTCATGCTCCTGATAAAGACATGCCAGAGACTGGGAAATTTACCAAAGAAAGAGGTTTGTTGGACTTACGGTTCCACATGGCCATGGAAGCCTCATGATCATGGAGGAAGGCAAAGAAAAGCAAGTCATGTCTTACATGGATGGCATCAGGAACAAAGAGAGAGAACTCGTGCAGGGGAACTCCTCTTTATAAATGAGCAAATTTCATGAGACTTATTCATCATCACGAGAACAGGATGGGAAAGACTTCCCCTCACGATTCAATTATCTTCCACCAGGTCTCTCCCATAACACATGGGAATTCAAAATGAAATTTGGGTGGGGACACAACCAAACCATATTAGTCACCTTGACTTTTCTTACTCTGGTTTTTCCCTTGGACACAATCCTGGGGTTCTTCCTTAGTTTCACTCTGTCACCCATAAATCATACTCCCCAACTGTGTACCCAGTCTAGCACTTGGAACTGTAAATCCCGTTTGTTTACATAGGGAGGGCTGTCTGAAGCCTCAAATCTTTATTGATGATAAAGATACACTATGACTATTATAGTGGTCAACACAGTGAGCCTTGAGTTGATTTAATTGTCCGTAAATAAATGAACCAGTAAAGAAATTTACTAAGTAGTTGACTGAGAGAGCAAAGTTGAGGGAGTTTCCTGCTAGAAACAAATATTTGGATGGGTTATGCTAATTAAAATAGAAAGTTTGCACTCTGGATTGGGATAAATGAATTCACATATTTGTACTAGGTAGGCTAAAGCAAATGTCTTTGTTCACTGGTCAAGAAAGAGTTTTCAATTTGATCCAGTAGGGGTCTGGCATACTAGGATCTCTTAAAGGTCTTAGTCATTTGTTATTTTTATATAGTGGATTGCTCAAAGACGATAGTCTCTCCCTCTCTTTCTCTTTTAAACTTTTATTTAGACATGATGATAAGAAAACATAGCACCAAGAGGTTGCATGTACTCATTACACAGTTTTCCTCAAATACCTTTTATTTCTATAGTACAATATAAAAACCAGGAAATTGACATTGGTGCAAAGTGTATAGATACCTCTATGACATTTTATCGCAAGTGTAGATTTGTGTAACCACCACCACAGTGAAGATTCAGAACTCTTTTATCGCCACAAAGATCATCCTCTTTATAGGTATATTCATTTTCTTCTCCTCCACTATCCCTAAACCCTAGCAACCACTAACGTATTTCTCATATCTATAATTTTGTTACTTACAGAATGTTCTATAAATGGAAACATATGATGTGTGATCTTTTGAGATTGGCTTTTTGTTCTAATATTTTTATTCCTGAAATCCAACCAAATTGTTTCATGTATCGATGTTTATTCCTTTTTATTGCTGAGTAATATTCTGTGGTAGGATATAACATAGTCTGTTTATTCATCTATTGAAGGCCATTTCGCTAGCTTCTAGGTTTGGCTATTACAAATAAAGCTGCTGTGAATATTGTGTACAAGTTTTTGTGTGGATATAAACTTTCATGTCTCTGGGATAAATGTCCAGGAGTGTGATTACTGGGTTGTATCATAAATATATGTTTAATTGTTTACAAAACTGCCAAACTACTTTCTAGAGTGACTGTAGCATCTTACTTGCCCACAAATAAATGTAGGAGAGATCCAATTTCTTTGCATCCTTACGAACATTTGGTATTATCATTTTTTATTTGAGCTATTCTAGTAGGTTTGCAATAATAGTACATCATGGTCTTAATTTGCATTTACCTAAAATCTAACAAGTTTAATCTTTTCATGTACTTATTTGCCATCTGTATATCCTCTTCAGTGAAAGTTTCCTCATGTACTTTGCCCATTTTCTAATTGTATTGTTTGTTTTTATACTGTTGAGTTTGGGGAATTCTTTACATATTCTATCTATGAATACTTTATCTTGTATGTGACTTGTAAATATTTTCTTCCAGTCTGTAGCTTGTTCTTTTAGTGTCTAAAGAGAGATTTCAAAGCAAATTTTTAAAAAATTCATGTCCAATTTATAATTTTTTTTTATTGATTTGGTGTCATATCTAGAACACATCACCAAGCCCTGGGTCCCTAAGATTTTCTCCTACGCTTTTGTCTAAAAGTTTTATAGTTTAATGTTTTACATTTAAATCTATGATTCATTTTGAGTTTCTCTTTCTGGAATGTGTGAGGTTTATGTAGAGGTCTTTTTGTGTTTTTTTGTTTTTTTATTTTGCCTGTAGCTATCCAGTTGCTGCAAGACCATTTGTTGAGAAGGCTATCCTTCTTCCACAGAATTAGTTTGCATTTCTGTCAAAAGTCAGTTAGTCAAATGATGCTCTTTTAACAGTTTCAGCTGATTAGATCCAGTTGTGGTGATACAGCATTTTGTTTTCATATTTTATAAGTAAACACTGTTATAACTGGATTTTTTCCTTTTTTAAGGCATAGGCCTAATATAAATGAATAATTAATTATACTTGAATTCTTAAATAACTTTAGTAGCCTTCAAATAGGACACATGCATGACTAGTAAAGTCTGTTTGGATCTTTCTATATCATATAACTTATTTTGAAGTCTGGGTCTACATATATAAAAGCTTTTAAGAGTATGAACTGTATGCCCTTTTTCCTTAGTTCATCTCTATACAATATAAAATCCATGAATATGAACCACTTGTTGGTAAATACAAACTCAGATGCTCAACTGCCATCTTGATAAATAGTTTCATTCATGCCATCCTAGCAAATAGAAATAATGGTATTGGCAGAGTGCCTGTAATCCCAGCACTTTGGGAGGCTGAGGTGGGCCGATCACCTGAGGTCAGAAGTTCGAGACCAGCCTGGCCAACATGATGAAACACTGTCTCTACCAAAAATTAAAAATAATAATAATTATTGAACTCTCCACCCCAAATCCACAGAATATACATTCTTCTCAGCGCCACATCACACCTACTCTAAAATTGACCACATAATTGGAGGTAAAGCACTCCTCAGCCAATGCAAAACAACTGAAATCATAACAAACAGTCTCTCAGACCATAGTGCAATCAAGTTAGAACTCAGAATTCAGAAACTGACTCAGAACTGCACAGCTTCATGGAAACTGAACAACTGGCTCTTGAATGTTGACTGGATAAACAATGAAATGAAGGCAGAAATAAAGAAGTTCTTCGAAACCAATGAGAACGAAGACACAACATACCAGAATCTCTGGGACACATTTAAAGCAGTCTCCAGAGGAAAATATATAGCAATAAGTGCCCATATGAGAAGAGTGGAGAGATCCAAAATTGTAATGATGTAGCAAGGAGCTCTAAGCTTCTGCACCTCAAGAAACAGAATTGAAGACTCCTTCTTACTGTTTCAAGTTCTTTTTATTCTCAACAGCTTAATTTTGTTGAGAACAGCCCTGGTTTTGTTCCAGTACCTAAGGCTATAGTGAAGGTCTGTGCTAATTTGCATGGCTGCAAAAGCAATTTTAACCTTTTTCTTTGAAATCCCACAAGTCAGAAGGGTTTTTGTTGTCACGCTATTCTAGTTCTCTGCAAATATCATATCATGATAAGACAAATTTTTGCAGTGTCAGGAATTAACTCTCTTCTGACTAAGGTGAATTAATTTTCAATCACTGGATTGCATACCTGGAAGAAGATGAAAATATAAATGGAATATGTATTTCAAAAGATCTTGCAGTTCCTGTTTTACATGGAAATATGTGAAAAATTAAATCTTTTGAGATTTAAAAGAGATCCAGTTATTTTGCATTTTGTATAACTTTTCACAACATTAAGAATAAGGTATCAATCAAAACTAATAGAATAAAACTAAAATGTTCTATATCATTAAGAGAGCATTGTTTCCCAAGGTAATAGTTGAATTGTACAGTTTGTGATGAAAAATGGAAATATAATGAATGGCTTCATATCAAAAAAGAATAATGTCCTTCTAAGCCATCATGACAAACAGTTTTTCTCACAGTAGTCTTAATATCTGGGAGGGAGCTGTAAGAATTTCAGAATTATTATTAGGACACTGGGATCATTCAAGATTGAAATAATGATAACACAGAATTCTTGAAAACTTCAAAATCTGCTATAATGCTACCTATAATGGAGTGTGTTAATGAGAACTTAGCTGTGTTCTGCCTTATATATCAGCTGGGCTCATTGGAAAAAATGAAAATTTCAATGAACAATGTTAGTTCATAATTCATGTGAAGCAACACGAAATCTTAATACAATATCTATGGGTTGTAAATTGGCACAATAACCAAAGAAAACAATTTGGAGAAAACAACCACTTTGCAAAAGCAATTTTGTAAATTTGTAAATGGCAAAATAGAACTTGTACCTTTCCTACAAGATGTCAGTCTCACTATTCAACATACCCTGAAAATACTCTTAAATTTATACTCCAGATGAGAGTGCACAATAATTTTTACTATGCATCATTAATAATAGCAAAACACTGAAAGCAACCCAAACATCCATAAGCAGTAGAATGGAGAAATAACAGATATAAAATAGAAGAAATAATTTACAATTGTTGTCAACAACTTATGAATGTCTCAATCATAATGTTGATCAAAAGAGGCAGATCACAGAATAACACATGCATCTAACTCAAGACTTACAGAGTACAAAATAGAATAAACAAAATGTTTTAATGCAGTAGTCCTCAACCTTTTTGGCACCAGGGATGGCTTTCATGGAAGACAATTTTTACATGGGGTGCAGGGATGGGTGTCGGGTAGAGGGAATGGCTTCAGGATGAAATTTTTCTACCTTAGATCATCATGCATTAGATTCTAATAGGGAGTGTGCAACCTAGATCCCTCCCATGCACAGTTCACAGTAAGGTTCGCACTCTTATCAGACCTAATGCCACTGCTGATCTGACATGAGGCAGAGCTCAGGCGGTAAACCTCTCTCCTAGCACTCAACTCCTGTTGGGCAGCCTGGTTCCTAAAAGGCTATGGACCTGTACTGGTCTGCAGCCAGTGGCTGGGAACCCCTGTTTTAGAGTACTTTTGTAGGTGATAAATTTATAAAATGAAGAAAGGGCATAATTATCACAAAATTCCTAATGGTCAGCATTCTAGAAGAGAGAGGGGTTTGTAGATTCTGTGAGTGGCACATATTATTGCCCTTTTGCTTCCAGTGTCCAGATACAAGGAGGCCTGGCTCTCTTGGAACTCATGCTTTGAGGATGCCCAAGCAGCTCATGAAAAGGAATCAAGACTTGGGTCTGAAGAAGCACTCTGGCAATAGCCAGTACCAACTTTACAGCTATGTGAGTGAGAAATCTTGAAGGTAAGTCCTCCATTCTAACAGCTCCAGCTAATACTTTATAAAAAAATAGTAGCTGTTCCCACAAAGCCATCCCAAATTGTAGATTTGTGGGGGGAAAAAGATTGTACTTGGTTTAAGCCTCTATGTTTTGTTTGTGGTTTGTTGTCATATAGCTTGCAGATAAAGCAGCATGCTGCCTAACCCTTAAGTGTCACATGAGGAAGAAGCAAGGAAGGAGCAAGGTGCTCAAAATTCTTTCAGATTTTTTTTTAAAGAGCTTCCAGTTTGAGGATACTACAACTGTACAGCTGAAGAAATCTGACCAGAATAAGCAGGAAACAGCAGCCACGACTAGAACGCCCCATCTTAAAAAGCCTGACTGTTATCTCAGGTCCAAAGTACTGGCTCTAGAGCTTTGCTGGACTAGTCCTTCAACTTCCTGCACTCCATGCTAGTCCTTCACACTGAAGATGACATCTCATCTCGGTCCTGCTTCTCTCACTTGTAGTGACAGTGTTCCAGCCCCGCTCTGCTCTCACCCTGAGTGCCTAACTCCAGCTAGTTGAAACTGGGGCTTGAAGATGTGAAACATTCAGAAGGAGCTTCTCTGATACAGACCTAAAATCAACAAAAGCAGTCATAGCCAACATGCCTGAGATCAATCCAACTCCACAAGAGTCAGTGCACAATAAACCTAAGTCCAGAAACTGTCCCAGGAAAATGAAAGCTACCACAGGAGAAATTTCCCAAACGTAGGTTAGGGTTTTCTCCCATAGGAACACAATGGCACCTTAACGGCCATAGAAGGAGCTCTCAATCTTTTCTAACATTTATTAGCAACTCTTTTTCATTTTCTCAAGTACCTCTTGGGAATAGTTTGAAGAGTTAATTGCAACTTTTAAGTTGTAATTAGGAACTTACGATTCCCTAGAGTTTGGGGCCAATAGCTACAGAATCTTATTAGAGAATTTAATTAATGTATTTCCACTACATTTCTACTGACTAGGAGGGAAATCAGAATAGTGTTGAAAGAATTTTTATAAAAATAAATGAAGTTAGGTAAATTATGGTTTTTAAGCTTCATTATAAAAGAAAAATACTCTTTTAATGCAATCTTGTTAACCTAAGTAGGTTAAAATGCTTCTCTATGCCTTTTTTTTTTTTAAAAAAAAACTGCCATTTCTATTTTAAGATAATTTGAGACTCAAAAGGATATTCTATCTTTTGGTGAAATAAGTTTGTCAAGGATTTGGAAAAAATATAATCTTGATTGTAAGGGGCAAATGGGATGAAGACTATCACAGCTGAGACAACTTGAGAAATAACTCCACTAGTGTTAGATTACTCAAAGAGGGGACGATATTTCACACAGTTATTTTCATTCTGTGAAAATAAACATTAAAGTTAATGTGCTAAAATATATCCCCACTAATCTATAAAATGTCCCCAAATAAAGATTCATTAATTAGCAGTAAATACGTTTTGCATTTAGGATCAACCTGTTGAAATATTGGTATTCATGGAAATAGTACTGTATCAGTTATTAAGGTTTTATCTTAGATCTTTTAAAATACTACTTGGACCTTTTGAAATACTTCTTCTAACTACTTAAAGATAATTTCTGAATAAAATTTAATGACATTTTATTCCTCTTTATCAAGGTACAGCTTATATCTCACCTACTCTATGAAGACCTCCATGAACTCCCAGACCCTAAAGCAGTTAATTACTCCATCTTCTTTAATCTCACAGCATTTTAGGCATGTCTCCATTATAAATGTATAACCACTTGCTAAGACAAACTCCTAGAATTTTGATGGTACCAAAACAAATGTGCTTAAAGATTAACAAGTCATAAAAGAATTGTGACACCTGTAAATTTTGTGCGGTAGGGAAATTCTTTTTCAGTTCAAAAAGAATATGTTATTCTTGCTACAGAGGCTTCAAGAAGATTCAGAATAGAAACAAACAGAAAGCATTATCAATATGCATACAAGACACTATTCCCAGTTAATGAGTATATGTTGGCAAGCATTTCACCACACTTACTTAACAAAGCAATTCTCCTAAGAAATAAAATTGATAGGGACCCTCTTATATAGCACCTGAATCTGTAAATATGCAATTGAAAAAAACAGAATTCTCTGAATTCAGCAACAGGTGCCTTGTTACAAGAAAATAGCTATTTGAGACCAGACCAGCATGGAGGAGGAGTAACACGGAAGGTTTACTGGAACCTGAGGGAGAACAAATGAGTCTAGAGCAGAAGAGAAACGATGCATGAATTAGGAGTAAGAAGGATTTCAAGTTAATCTCCAAACACCATGATTTGGCATTTTTACGTCTTCTAATTCTGTCTACCTCTACCAATATGTCATTTAGCTATACTTAAGTTAATTTAATGGTAAACTATTGCTGTTGTTCTTGTTTATCAGTGTAAGTCCAGGCATTCTCGATCCTTTAATTAACTTTACAACATTTAGAAATAACCTCTCAAGTATTATCAAAGATAGCTATCAGAATCAATTGAACATGTCCAAAAGTTGCAAATGCAATAAAAATTCTGGTGTTCAGAATGAGTCTACCAGGTAAGCGTTTTTTTCCTTACAGAATTTCCTACAGACATTTCTTACTGAATTTTCCTCAAACACAGCATATTTCTCTAAGTGCAGTATGCATTCCCCAAGCATGTATTCTCCCTAATTTTGAGTTCTCAATTATTGGTACAGTGATTGACACATAGAGGCATTCAATAAATATTTGTGAAAAAAGGATGATCAGAGCTCCCTTTAGCTAAACCTCCAAAGTAAAGTAATTGAGTGTTTTAATTGTGGATACTTACATCTATCTTGCTGTTCATAATAAACGTCATATAATAAGACTATTGGTATAAACTGTTTTTTTGGTGTGTATTCACATCATTATGTAGATCAACTGATTTGAATGTGGTCTTTTTAAAAAAACAGTAACTGGGATTTCTATAATTTGAAAAATATGGTCTTGCAGAGCAGTTATATCAAAATAGGATCAGATAAAATTATGAGATATTATTTCCATATTTGCAGTTTAGCTTGGGATCAAGGGAATAGATGGTAATAAAGAGAAATGATGTGGGTTTTCAGTTCAGGCAAAAGAGGATTCTTCTCCAAGGGAACATCAGGTGGTTTGCATGCTGATTGGATCTATATGTCTGCCTAAATCTCAGGTCAAATTACAATTCCTAATGTTGGAGGTGGAGCCTGGTGGGAGGTGACTACATCACTTCAGTGGATTTCCCTCTTTGGTGCTGCTCTTGGGATAGAGTTCTCACGAGATCTGGTTGTTTAAAGGAGTGTGGCACCTCCCCCACCTCACTCTCATGCTTCTGCTTCAGCCATGTGAGACGAGCCTGCTTTCCCTTTGCCTTCCGTCATGGTGGTAAGTTTTCCTGAGGCCTCCCCCAAAGCTGAGCAAATGCCAGCATCATGCTTCCTGTACAGCCTGTGGAACCATGAGCCAGATAAACCTCTTTTCTTTATTAATTACCCAGTCTCAGGAACTTCTTTATAGCAATGTGAGACTGAACTAATATACATGCCTTATTTATAAAACTTCTGATTTTGTATCTCTAGACAAAAGTGAGACAGAAAAAGCTTTTCCAGCCAAATTCAGATTGATTTGGGTCAACCTCTCAAAACTAGGACTGGAATAGGGCTCTTACGGTCAATTTTTAATAAGACTAATTTGAGCCATAATGTACTGTCTTTCCTCAGATATTCCTTTAAAAACAGAAAACTAGACATTTCCTTTTCTGATAAGGTCATATGCCAAATTTGTAATTACTGCTTGAAATGGGGAAGGTGGTAGAAAAATTAGGTTAATAAATACTTGGTGGTCAGGCACAGTGGCTCACGCCTGTAATCCCAGAACTTTGGGAGGCTGAAGTGGGTAGATCACCTGAGGTCAGGAGTTCGACACCAGCTTGATCAACATGGTGAAACCCTGTCTCTAATAAAATACAAAAATGAGTCGGGCATGGTGGGGCGTGCCTGTAATCTCAGCTACTCAGAAGGAAGGCTGAGTTAAGAGAATCACTTGAACCTGGGAGGCGGAGCTGGCAGTGAGCCAACATCATGCCATTGTAGTCCAGCCTGGGTAACAGCAAGACGCCATCTCAAAAAGAAAAATAAATAAATAAATAAAATAAGTACTTGGCAGACATGGATAGTTATACATATTTTTGATTAAAGTATTTGAAACTAGACTGAATGTCAACACTAATTGTTACCGTTTATATTAACACACAAAGGTAAAATGGTAATTCGGGCACCAAGGAAAATAATACATAGCGGCAATGAAGAAAATACTTGTATTTATTGGCAAATTGAATTATACATAGAAACCTCCCAAATTAAGAGTCAGAAAAGTGGTTCATGCTAACCTCATCACCTTGAAGAACCAACATGCTAAATATCCCAATTTGCTTTAGTTTGATTAAAAAAGACATTTTTATTCCTTAGGAAAGGTCTCAGTCTTTAAGAATCCGTACTTGTCATTCTTATGCAATGCTTTTGTGCCTGCCATGATGCTAAGGAATACAACAATTCTAGAGCTAGATTCAGAAGTATGTAAGCTTGTGGGAAATCTAACTGGGTTCAGGCCAAGAGGAAGACAGGCTTAGAAGTGTTCTGTTAGATGCAGATGGAACTCCTACCTCTTGCCATCTCCTCTAATCAGCAGAGGAAGGGCCAGATCAATTTTCAAATTTTATTTATGATACAGTGTTAGACTCCTTTTGTTACATAGACTGGAGATGCAGTCAACGAGTTAAGAAAAATAAAGCAAATCATCAGGATATGTAAGGACCAGCTCTATAGATTTGAGACAAGTCTATAGATCATGCAGTCTTTTTGCTTTCACTCTTGGTTGATGGAACCTACTTTTCCTAAGGTCTTACATTACTAGGCATCTCTATTTCATCTGCTTGTTTCCTTGTTTATACATTGAGAGAGTAGTTCCTACTGCACGTAAGGATTAGTGAATTAATTAGTGCAAAGCATTTAGAGAAAGGCTGGATTTCTTTACCTCACTCATCTCCCTTTTCCTCCAAGTGCTTCTCTTTTAAACCTCCCACCCTTCTTGCCCCATCTTAATTCTCAGATGATGATTTGCTTCATATTTCACTGAGAACACAAAGGAATTTCCATGAATTCCTATCAGCACCTCAACTCGATGAAAGTGTGTGACCATGTAATCTGCCTCCCCTCCTGCAACCATGTATATCCATGTGTCTGCCTAAGGCCCACCTCTCCACTCATGCATTAGGCCCTTTACCCTTTCTTCTACATGAGCACCTCACATCGAGAATGTTTCTCTCTTTCTTGTTTCACCATTTTTCAATTTAGAATGGATTATTCCCATCAGCATATAAACTCCAGTTTTTCCTATTAGGAAAAAGTAAAAATAAAAAGGCCCTCTCTTGACTTTCATTCCACCTCTGGCTACCACTCCATTTATCTCTTTCCTGTTAAGGGAACAACTTGCAGAAAAAATTGTCTATTCTATTTCTTATTTCTTCCTCTTCCTTCACTATCTTGAAACCATTCCCACCAAGCTTTCATCCCCATCACTCCACCAACACTGCCACTCTTGAGGCCATTAATAATTTCCACAATACCAAACCCATCTGCTCACCCTTGGCCTGTCTGCCGCATTTCACACAGTTGAGCGTTCTCTTCTCCTTCACTTTGACTTCCCACTTCCAGTTTTCCTTTCACCTCACCGGGTTCTCATCTTCAGTTTCATATCCTGGCTTTTCTTCATCTTTCAAATATCTAAATAATAGAGTGGCCCAGGGATAATCTTTAGACCTTTTTTCATGTCTGCCTACTCTCTCCCTGGGTGATCGTCTTCCACTTCACATTCTGGCAATTTTCAAACATATGCCTGTCCAACAGTTATCTCCACTTTTCTAACAGGCATCTCAGACTTATGATGTCCAAAGTGGACACCTGATCTTCATCCCGTAAACTGCTTCTCCCACAGTTTTCCTCACTGTGGGAAATGGTAACTTTATCCTTTAGTTGTTAGGCCAGCCATGGCTCCTCTCTCACTGTGACCATCACTTACAATCTGTTAGTAGTCCTGAGAGATTTACTTTCAAAACAGATTAAAGCTTACTGGTCACTTCTCACGACTTCCATCACTACCGCCTTGGTTCAGGCCACCATCACCTTTCACCTGGAGTGTCACAAGAGGATTCCATCTACCTTAGGCCCCCAATCTGCACTCAACCCAGTAGCCGGAGGGATCTTGTTAAAAAGAAATAGGAATATGTCACACTTCTGCTTCCCACACCCAGGGGTTTCCCATTTGACTTTAGAGTAAAAGTTTAAGTCGTTTGAACTGAGGCTTGTTTACAAACCAGGGTTGACACAAACTAGCCCTTTCCTTCACCAATTGATTTCTGACCTCATCTCCTCTATTGTCTTCCTTACGCATAACCACACTCCAATCCAGCCATTCTGGCTGCTCAGATCCTTGGTACTTGCTGCTTGCATTCTCTGCCTAGAAACCCCCTTTTCCAGATTTCCATGTGGCTCATGCCCTGATTACCTGTGATGCTTATTAAATGTCATTTTGTCCCATAAGTCCTCTCTAACCATGGTGTTTAAAACTCTACTCTCTAGCTGGTTCCCCTTTCCTACCTTATAGTCTCCATAGCATTTATCGCCATCTAATAGACTATTAATTTTAGTTGTTTAAGAACTGCCCCCACATGAGAATGGAAGTTTCATGAAATCAAGTATTTTTTAAAATTACTGTTATTTATATATTTATTTATTCTTGTAGAGACAGTGTTTTGCCATGTTGCTGAAGCTGGTCTCAAACTCCTGGACTCAAGTAATGGAACCACCTACCTCAGTTTCCTAAAGTTCTGGGAATACAAGTGTGAGCCAGTGTGCCTGGCCAGTATTCTTTTCTTTTTTAACCTCTATATCTTCAGTGTGTAGAAGAGTACTTGAACAAAAGAGGCACTCAAGAACTATTGCAACAGTGACTGACACGGGGTCAATGCTCTGTAAGTACCAGCAATAATTTTCATCTTTCTCTCATCTGACCAGTTCTGCTTTCCAGAGCAGGGGGCAATTCATGGAGAAATTTCTTTCCTTTTTAAACACACTTTATTGAGGTATGATTGACATAAAAAAGTTGTATATATTTAACATATACAACTTGATAAATTTAAAGATAAGTATACACTGTGAAATCACTGCAATCTATGCCATAAACATATTCATTATCTCCAAAAGTTTCCTCCCACCCTCTATATTCATTATGATGTTCATTATTGTGTTTGTATGTGTATTTGTGTGTGATAACAATACTTGGCATAAGGTCTATTCTCTTAGTGAATTTTTAAGTGTATAACACAGGATTGTTATCTATAGTTACAGAGCATGCAATAGTTCATCTTGCATAATTGGAACCTTGTACTCTTTGACTTATACCTTCCTACATCCCGTCTTCCCACAGCTGCTGGCAACCACCATTCTATTCTCTGCTTCTATGAGTCTATTTTAGATTCCTGATAAAAATGATTTGGGGTAGTATTTGTCCTTTTGTGTCTGGATTATTTTAACTAACGTAATGTCCTCTAGGTACCCAGGTTGTTGCAAACAGAATAATTTCTTCATTTTTTAAGGCTGAATAATATACCATTGTGACTGGGTGTGGTGGCTCAACCTTGTAATCCCAGCACTTTGGGAGGCAGAGGGCTGATCTTCTGAGGTTGGAAGTTTGAGACCAGCCTGGCCAACATAGTGAAACTCTGTCTGTACTAAAAATACAAAAATTAGCTGGGTGTGATGGCATATGCCTGTAATCCCAACTACCTGGGAGGCTGAGGCAGGAGAATCACTTGAACCCAGGAAGCGGAGGTTATAGTGAGCCAAGATCACATCACTGCACTCCAGCCTGGGTGACAGAGCAAGACTCCATCTCAAAAAAAAAAAAAAATCCATTGTATGTTTATACTATATTTTCTTTATCCATTCATGTCGATTGACATTTAGGTTACTTCCAAGTCTTGGCTATTGTGAATAAAGCTGAAGTGAATATATATAACCAGATATATAACCAGAAGTAGGATTGCAGTATCATATGCTAGTTCAGTTTTTAATTTTTTGGAGGAAACTTCATACAGTTTTTCATAGAGGTTACACCAATTTATGTTCCTACCAAGAGTGTACAAAGGTTCTATTTCTCCACATTCTCACCAACATTTGTTATCTTTGTTTTGTTTTTGTTTTTATAATAGCTATCCTAACTAGGGTGAGTGATACCTCATTGTGGTTTTGCATTTTACTGATAATTAGTGATTTTAACCACCTTTCTGTTTACCTATTAGCCCTTTTTATGTCTTTTTTGGAGAAATGTCTATTCAGTTCCTTTGTCCATTTTTTAATCAAGCTATGTTTTATTTTTTATTATTTTTGCTATTGAGTTGTAGGAGTTCCTTATGTATACTATATATTAACCCTTTATCATATATATGGTTTGCAAATATTTTCTCCAATTCTTTTCGTTGCCTATTTATTTTGTTCATTGTTTTTAGTTTGATGCAACCTATTGTCTATTATTTCTTTTGTTGTTTCTTCTTTTGTTATCATTTCCAAGAAATCATCGCCAAAGCCAATGTCATGGAGTTTTTCCCTGTGCTTTCCTCTAGGAGTTTTATGGTTTTAAGTCTAACACTTAAGGCTTTAATGAATTTTGAATTAATTTTTCTGTAGAGTGTAAGATAAGAATCAAATTTCATTCTTTTTAATTTTTGTAGGTACTTAGTAAGTACATATACTTATGAGGTCTATGAGATGTTTTGATACAGGCATGCAATGTGAAATAAGCACATCATGAAGACTAGAGTATGCATCCCCTAAAGCATTTATCCTTCAAGTTACAAAGAATCCAATTATACTCTTTAGGTTATTTTAAAATGTACAGCTAAGTTATTATTGGCTATAGTCACCTTACTGTGCTATGAGATAGTAGGTATTATTCATTCTAACTATTTTTGGGGGTACCTCTTAACCATCCTCACCTCCCTGCCAGCCCCACAGTACCATTCGCAGCCTCTTTTAACCATGCTTCTACTCTCTATGTCCATGAGTTCAATTGTTTTGATTTTTATATACCATAAATAAGTGTGCCTGGCTTATTTCACTTAATATAATAATCTCCAGTTCCATCAGTGTTGTTGCAAATGATTGAATCTCATTCTTTTTTATGGTTGAATAGTATCCCATTGTGTGTAAGGACCACATTTTATTTATTCATTTATCTGTTGATTGATGGATACTTTGGCTGCTTCCAAATCTTAGCTATTGTAAGCAGTGTTGTAACAAACAAAAGTGCAGATATCTCTTCAATATACTGATTTCCTTTCTATTGGGGCTATATATTTCCTTTCTATTGGGATTGCTGGATCATATGGTAGCTCAATTTTGAGGTTTTTGAGGAAACTCCAAACTATTCTCCCAAGTGGTTGTAATAATAATTTACATTCCCAGCAACAGTTTACAAGAGTTCCCTTTTTCCCACATCCTTGCCAGCATTTGCTATTGCCTGTGTTTTGGATATAAGCCAATTTAACTGGGGTGAGATGATATCTCATTATAGTTTTGGTTTGCATTTCTCTGATGATCAATGATGTTGAGCACCTTTCCATATGCCTGTGTGCCTTTTTTTTTTTTTTTTCAATATGAAGTCTCTCTCTGTCACCCAGGCTGGAGTGTAGTAGTGTAATCTTGGCTCACTGTAACCTCTGCCTATCAGGTTCAAGTGATTCTCCTGCCTCAGCCTCCTGAGTAGCTGAGATTATAGGTGAGCACCACCACACCCAGCTAATTTTTATGTTTTTAGTAGAGGCAGGGTTTCACCATGTTGGCCAGGCTGGTTTCAAACTTCTGATCTCAAGTGATCCACCCACCCTGGCCTCCCATGGTGTATGTCTTCTTTTGAGAAAAGTCTATTCAAATCTTTGCCCATCTTTTGATTGAATTATTAGATTTTTTTTCCTGTAGAGTTCTTTGAGCTCCTTATATGTTCTGGTTGTTAATCCCTTGCCAGATTGGTAGTTTGCAAATATTTTCTCCCATCCTGTGAATTATCTCTTCACTTTGTTGATTGTATCCTTTGCTGTGCAGAAGCTATTTAACTTGATGTGATTCCATTCCATTTGTCCATTTTTGCTTTGGTTGTCTGTGCTTGTGGGCTATTGGTCAAGAAATCTTTGCCCAGATCAATGTCCTGGAGATTTTCCCCAAAGTTTTCTCCTAGTAGTTTCGTCGTTTGCGGTTTTATATTTAAGTCATTAATCCATTTCATTTGATTTGATTTTTGTATAGGGAGAGAAATAGAGGTGCAGTGGTATGATCTTAGCTCACTGCAACTCCGCCTTCTGGGTTTGAGTGATTTTCTTGCCTCAGCCTCCTGAGTAGCTGGGACTACAGGCATATACTATTATGCCTGGCTAATTTTTGTATTTTTGATAGAGAGGGGGTTTCATCATGTTGGCCTGGCTTGTCTCAAGCTCCTGATCTTAAGCGATCTGCCAGTCTCAGCCTCCCAAAGTGCTGGGATTACAGGTGTGAGCCACTGTACCTGGCCTTGTTTCTGTTTTTACTAGTGTAAAAACACGCTGTTTTGATTAGTTTAGCTCTTTAGTATCATTCGAAGTCAGGTAATGTGATTCTTCTAGTTTGTTCTTTTTGCTTATGATAGCTTTGGCTATTCTGGGTCTTTGAGGTTCCATATAAATTTTAGGATTCTTTTTCTATTTCTGTGAAGATTTTACTGGTATTTTGATAGGAATTGCATTGAATCTGTAGATTGCTTTGAGTAGTATAGGCATTTTAATAACATTGATTCTTCCAATACATGAATATGAAATATTTTTTCTTTTTTTGATATTCTATTTGGTATTTTATAGTTTTCTTTATAGAGATCTCTCACTAATTAACTTAAGAATTATTTAATTGATAATTAGATATTTAATTTTATGTGTGGCTACTGTAAATGGGATTACTTTTTAAATTTCTTTTTCACATTTTTCACTGTTGGCATGTAGAAATGCTACTGATTTTTGTATGTTGACTTTGTATTCTGCAACTTTATTTATCAGTTTATCAGTTCTAATAGTTTTCTTGTGGAATCTTTAGGTTTTTTCAAATAGAAGATCATATTATCTTCAAACCAGGATAATTTGACTTATTACTTTCGAATTTGGATGGGCTTTATATCTTTATAACATCCAGTATTATGTTGAATAATAGTGGTGACAGTGTGCATTCTTAATATGTACAGGATCTTAGAAGAAAGGTTTTCCGTTTTTCCCCATTCAGTACGATACTAGCTGTGGGTCTGTCATACATGTTTTAATTCCATTTTACTTATGCTCTGATCTTTATTATTTCCTTTTTTTCTACTAATTTTGAGTTTAGTTTGCTCTTTGCTTTTCTAGTTCTTTAATATGCATTGTTAGACTGTTTATTTGAAGCTTTCCCTCTTTTTGGATGTAGGCACTTATAGCTATAAAATTCCTTCTTAGAACTGCTGTAGCCCATAGATTTTGGTATGTTGTTCTTCATATTTGGCTTAATATTACAGACCCACAGCTACTACCATACTGAATTGAAGAGTTTGTTCATTTCTTTTAGATTTTCCAATTTATAGGTAAATAGTTGCTCATACTACTCACACATGTCATATATGGCTTTTAAGGTATGTTTCTTCTATCTGCAGTTTTTTGAGGGCTTTTATCATGAAAGGATTTTGAATTTTATCAAATGCTTTCTCAGCATCAATTGAAATGATCACAGGTTTTAATCCTTCATCCTGCTGATATGATGTATAACATTGACTGATCTGTGCTTGTTGACCATCCTTGCATTCCAAGGATAAATCCCACTTGGTCATGATGAAATGATCTTTCTAATGTATTGTTGAATTCAGTTTGCTAGTATTTTGTTAAGAATTTATATATATATATATATATATATATATATAATTATATTTAAT